TCTTCCCATCAGACATTCTCAGAGCACCCTTAACTTCTCCTTTAAACAGTTAAGATAGCTGTAATTTGAGAATTACTTCTAATTAATTACACAGGAGGCAGGAAACTACCTTGTATACTGTCTGTATTGCCTAGGGAAAAAAAAAAAAAACCCGGACATAAGGCAGGTTTTGTCCTAAGCACTGATCGGGAACAGGACAAACATGCCTATTGTAGCCACTTGTATTCAATGTAATGTTGGAAGTCGTAGCCACAGCAATTAGGCAAGAAAAAGAAATAAAAGGCATCAAAATTAGAAAGAAAAAAAGCAAAGTTGTCACTATTTGCAGAAGACATGGTATTATATATAGGAAACCATGAAGATTCTGTATGTCCTAATCGATCATTAAATGGGTATTTTTTTTTAAAAGAAACACTTAATTGTCCAAAAATAAAGGATAGGGAAAATTAATTACATGACACTCATAAAATGGAATATCATATAACCATTCAAAATTATAGGTAAAAATAAAAAATATATTTACAGGTAGATGGCACATATACATATACATATACACACAGGGGGGAAAAAAGACACCAAAATGTTAGCAAGGATTATATTTGGATAGTAGGATGATTCTTACTTCTTCTGTACACTTCTACCTTTTCCAAATTTCTTACAATAAAGATTAATTACATTTATAATTTTATAATAAAACTTATTTCTTTAAAGGCAATAATTACTTCACTCAGTATTTCTTTAGTCAAATCAGAGACTATGAGACAGATTATTTACAACAATGGTCCTGGCAACATTACACACAATGGCAAAAACATGTAAAACAATTTACATACACAGAAGAGAGGATAAGTTATAGCCCATCCATACTCTGAAATACATATTGCAGTTTTCAAAAATACTGTTGTATATGACCTTTTAAAAAAAGGCTCAGAGAGTAAAGAAACAGGAAGGAATTAAACTGAAATATGCCATCTGAGTATAAGATTTCAACTTTTTTGAGGAGTTCTACTTGCTCACTCTCCTTCAGCCAAGATCTTGTCTCCTGGAATTTGCCAGGACCAACTAGGATTTGCAGTGCCTCCTGCCAGCATGATGGATCTCAGGGCAAGGAGGCCTCCTGCTGATTCCATTGCACTTTGTGAAGTTGGCTCCTGACCCAAATCAGTTCTCCTCTTAGTCTTGCAGTTTGCTGGTTTAGCCTGACTTCAATCTTACGCACCTCTTGCATGGTTCCCAGTGATTTCTTTTGCTTTTACCGCTTTTGATCCTTTTCCCCCACCATGAACAATTCAACTTTTATAAGCACTGAATATCTTAGGAAGGTCTTGAGTGGTTTAGATACCCAACAGTCTCAAAAACACTGAATGTAGGCAGGTAAAAAACCACCTTATAAAGCCATGTTACAGAGTAATTAACAAAAGCACACTGCCCTCTTATATCATCTTATGTTAACTAATTTCAACTAATAATGTAATCATGCCCATTTTAATGGAATTTCTTAATTTTTTTTCATAAATGGATGTTAATTCAGGGACTCAAGAAAGCAAATTTTGTCCACTGAAATTCATTCACAATTTCAAAAAATTTCACAAATTTCTAAAATGTCTTCTAAGGCAGATAGTCTATATACCAAAATACTCACATCTATATTCAATTTTGTTTGTCAATTATACCTCAATAAAACTGGGGTAAATACAAATAAATAATACCAAGAACAACTGGCAGAATTATTTCCTGATACTAAGAGATAGGATGGTAGTTACTATAAGACAGAAAACAGGAGATCGTGAATGAGAAGAGAGAGGCACAAAAGGTTTGGGAATACTGGCAATGTTCTTTTCTTAATCCGGGTCATGTTCACTTTGTGATACTTCATAGAGCTGTACAATTATGAAATGTGCATTTCACACTGATTGTTATACTTTAACTTTAAAAGTTTTAAAAAGACTTTAAAAATATTCATACTTACCTTTCAGTGATAGAAGACTATTTCTCAATTTTTCAATGATGATCATATATCAAGAATTAGAAAATGTCAGTTGCCTACCTATCACTGCCTTCCTTTCCCCTGCTAACAGAACTCTGATTTTACTTAAGTATCCGACGTGGAATTCTCGAAGATTCTTTGGTTTTAATGGCTTGATGCAGATAAACAAGAGCTGTGAGTAAGGAAGAACCAAAAGAAGAGTAAAGGACAGGACTAGAAGAGTTCAACCAGGTATTATCATATATGTTAGCATATTATGACCCCATGAAGTAAGGTTTTTTTTTATCATCCCAATTCGGAAATAAAGAAACTAAAATCTGAAGAGTTAAATGATTCACCTAAAGTACCAGATCCTGGCACTGAACCTTTGTTTCTTCATTCAAACTTCCGCAATCAATTTGCCCACACATACATCTTCTCTAGATAGCGGAACTATAATCTTTGTTAAAATCCCATTCAAAGACTTAATCTTATTACCTTGCTCACCTGTATTAAATGAATATGCTACAGTCAGAAACATGGGGAATGCATAGGCCAAATTTTTAAAACATAACAAAATATGTGGTTCAAAATCAGTATTTTTTTTTAAAGATTTTATTTATTTGACAGAGATCACAAGTGGGCAGAGAGGCAGGCAGAGAGAGAGAGAGAGAGAGAGAGGAGGAAGCAGGCTCCCTGCAGAGCAGAGAGCCCGATGTGGGACTCGATCCCAGGACCCTGAGATCATGACCTGAGCTGAAGGCAGAGGCTTAAGCACTGAGCCACCCAGATGCCCCCTCAAAATCAGTATTTTACAGGCAAATGCAGTCGATCATTTTTCCGGAATAAAATATCCAACCAAAGTATGGGAACCTATATATATATATTTTTTCAAGTCCCAGATAATATTGATGATATTAACATATTATTAATTAAAAAGCACCAAATAGTAATTTGCCATTTTGGAAACTGATATTTTAGGAATAATATTCATTCTTAAAAGTGCAACATATTGGGGAGCCTGGGTGACTAAACTGGTTGGGAGCCTGACTTTTGACTTTGGCTCAGGTCATGATCTCAGCGTTGTGAGAATGAGTCCTGCATGGGGCTCCAGTAGGCAGCGGAGCCTGCTTAAGATTCTCTCTTTTGCTCTGCTCCTTCCGCCCCTCTAAAAAAGTGCAACATATCTCTGCTGCTCAATATAGTGCAGAGGAAAATGAAAATTAAAGTAAATCATCACTACTGTTTTATTAGTAATAATTAAAATGATACACCCTAAATTTTATTTGTTTTTTTAAAGATTTTATTCATTTATTTGAGAGCAATCACACATTAGCGGGGGGAGGGAGAAGCCTGCTCACCGATGAACAAGGAGCCCATTGCGGGACTCAGTCTTAGGACTCTGGGATCGTGATAAGAGCCCAAAGCAGAGACTCAGCCAACTGAGCCACTCAGGTACCCCATACACCCTAAAGTTTTTAAACAAACTTAGTCTTCACTTTTCTGTGTTTAGAAGAGCAGCAGTTTTCCCCATTTTTAAAAAGATTTTATTTATTTATTTGACAGAGAGAGACACAGCGGGAGAGGGAACGCAAGAAGGGGGAGTGGGAGAGGGAGAAGCAGGCTCGATTTGGGGCTCCATCCCAGGAATCTGGGATCATAACCTGAGCTGAAAGCAGATGCCTAGGGACTGAGCCACCCAGGCACCACATTTTTAATTGACTACAATTTCCTCCTTCCTCTGGCATCTACCTGGTGTTTACAAAATGCAGATCAACTACTAAGTCACTCTATGTTCCAAAGGTTACTTGCGCCTTGATTTCTTCAGGTGTAATCAAGGGAAGACTTAACAGTGGTCTAAAGACCCAAGGACTTCTGAAAAAAGTTGGTTGACTGTAACAGACTCGAGCTTTGCCAAGACACACAACAGCTCAGGGCAAGGAGGAGCCAAATGATCAGCAAGAGGCGAAGAAATAACCGTCCCCCCCACCCCTGGAGTTTTGTCAGATGCTTAGGAAAGGAGGATGTAGCTTAACCTCTTCAAACTCTAACGAGATTCTGCAGTACTTGGTAAAAGCAAACGCCACTGACTACCTGAGAGGTCTTTAGGGTTATGACATTCATCCCTTTTGTCGTTGTGGCAGTGTATCCCTCTTTCTCATTTGCCAGCTCACATCTAAGATTATGCGGAAATGCTTTGCAAAATGCTTTTTCTCTGCGATTCCCGCGCGCGACCCCAAGGGCAAGAGTAAAAGCCCTTTCAAAGGCTTGGTACGTCATCCTATTACGAGGAGAGCGTGTGCCACCGTATCTTAATGATACTGTAATAAAAATCCATCACCGCTACGAAACTGATAGCAACAACCCAACGCCATACCGTCCTCCTGGCCCGAGGCCAGGTCGGCGCCCTCGGACGGAGTTAACACCTGGTGGGAGAGAAAGGAGCGCAGCTGGGCTTTTGACAGTTCTGCAGCTCACTCAGGGAAATTCCACGCGTATAGCCGGCCGCCCTACTTCCGGGAATACCGACGCCTTTCCCACAACTCAACTTCCCCCTCCGCCGCAAGCCCCGCCCACCAACCGAAAGGCCCAATCAAGGGTGGACTTCCGGTGAACGCCGTCCCCGCCCACCGCCCGCCAGTCTAGTCAGGAAACCCCACCCCCACCTGGAAGCTGGTCGCGAGCGAACCTGGCTGTGGCCGCCGCTGCCTCCGCGCAGACGCGCCCCGAGTTATTTACTTTCGTTTCCGCGGCAAACTTCCCGAGGCCTGGGTAAGGAAGGAAAGAAGCAGCGGTGGGAGGCTCCGGAATTACTCCGACGCCGCGACAGCCTCGCCGGGACAGGCAGGGGGCGGACGCCCGAGCCTGACACGGGGGTCGCCGGGAATGGAGCTCGTGGAGCTCGGGAAGGCCGAGCTGCGGCCGCGCCCCTCTGCGCGCTCACCGCGCCCGGCTCCGTGGGCCCCGCCGGTCAGTGCGCGTCCGGCCGCGCGGCTCGGGCTCCCTGCTTGCACGGAACGGCGGGCTGGCGCACCTCGAGACGGGGGCCGGCCAAAACCGCCGCTCTCCGGGAGCTCTGGTCCGGTGTCCGCGCCCTCTGGGTGTCGAGTGAGCGCTCTGGGGCCGGCGGGAGGGCGTGGACTGCTCGCTCCGCCTCCGCAGGCTCCGCAATCGAGAAAGCAGAGGGCGCGCCTGCCCCGCGGCCAACCGTGCCTTGCACCCAGATTTTAAAATTCTCGGAGATGTCACCCAGAGTATCATGGCTTTACTTTGTTTTAGAGTCAGCCGGGAGGCCAAAAGAGGACCTGTTACCTAATCATAGAAACCGCCGCCGCTGGGGAGAAGCAGCTTGGTTTAGGGGTACGCACTGGGCAGATTCCACCACTCCCCGCAACTCCCGCTCTGAGCTCTGCGCGTTATCAGCCCTACAGCTTTAGGCAAATTACCATTTTCTTATCTCCCCTCATCCGTGAAGTGGGCATAATCGCGCTGTGGAGGAAGAAATGTGATACTTATCTTGCAACCCTTTAGAATGGTGATTGGGAAGTGTCAAGCAAAATGGGAAGTGCCATAGGGTTATATTAGAAAGCAGGCCGTACATACATGATTACATATTGGAGAAAGATAGGCAGTTGACCACTGAACATCAGGGGTTTGAACTGCACGGGAGCACTTGTAGGCGGATATTTTTGGGTAGATACAGTAGAGTACTCTAGATGTATTTTCCTCGTGATACTCTAAACATTTACATTTCTGTAGTTTACTTTATTGTTAGAATACAGTATATGATATATATAATATATATAATATATAAATTATGTGTTAAATTGACTGTTAGTGTAAGGCTTCCAGTCAACAGTAGGCTATTAATAAAGCTTTTTGGGGAGTCAGTTTTATGCTAACTTTCAACTGTGTGGGTTCGGTTGGTTCCCCAACCCCTGTATTCAAAGGTCAAATGTATACTTCAAGAGAATAAGAAGCCACAAGCTGGAGAAAATATTTGCAAAAGACATCTGATAAAGGACTGTTATCCAAAATATACTAAAAATTCAACAATAAAGAAAGGAGCAACCCAATTAGAAAAAGGGCAAAAGATCTGAACAGACACCTCACCATACAAATGACAAACATGGGAAAAAGTGCTCAGCATTACAGGTCGTTAGGGAATTGCAGATTTGAAACAACAGTATGATACCACTACATACCTATTAGAACGGCCAAAATCTGAAATACTGATGATACTTGTTGGTGAGGATGTGGCGCAACAGGAATTCTCATTCATTGTTGGTGCGTGTGCAGATTGGTACATCCACTTTGGAAGAGAGTTGGGCATTAAAAGCTGAAAATAATCTTACCATTCATATGGTCCAGAAACCACATGGCTTGGTATTTACCCAAATAAGTTGAAAGCTTATGTTTACACAAAAATCTGACATGAATGTTTATAGCACATTTATTTCTAATTGCCAAAACTTGAAAGCAACCAAGATGTTCTTCAGTAGGTGAATATGCAAAAACACTTGTCCATCCATACAATGGAATATTATTCACTAAAAAAAAAAAAAGCCATCAGGCCGTGAAAATGCATGGAGGAAGCTTAAATGTTTATTTCTAAGTGAAAGCTAATCTGAAAAAGGTACATAATAAATGATTCCAACTATATGACATTCTGGAGAAGACAAAAATACCGAGGCAGAAAAAATCAGGGGTTGTCAGGTTTGCAGGGAGGTGGAGCACAGGATTTTTAGGGCAGCAAAACTATTCTGTATAATGCCATAATAGTGAATACATTATATATTGTCAGAATCCACAAAAGTACAAGAAAAAGTGAAACGAGATGTGAACTATGAATGGACTTTGCATGATAATGTGTCAGTGTTGGTTGATTGATTATTAACATACATGCCACACTGGTGCAGAATGTTGATGGCAGGGTAGTCTGTCTTTGCAGGTAGGGGAAGAAATAAAATATGCAGGAGCATTCTGCTCTTTCCACTCAATTTTTCTTTGAAAGTAAAACTATTAAAAAACTTGTTTATTTTTAAAATACCTATAAAAAAGATGAAGGTGGTACCTATTCATTCAACAAACATTTCTGACTAATGTATGCTAAGCAGGTACTAGATATAAGAATATCTGATGGTAGATAGAAGTGATCCAAAAAGGCATTCATCCACTCAATAAATTTGCAGAGCACCTTTTGTAAACACTAAAGACTCAGTTGTGAATAAATCAAAAATATCTACCCTTGTGGAGATTACATGCTAGTGGGGGAAATGAATGAGTGAGGAAACTGTGTGGTTCGTTAGTGGTTAGTGCTAAGAGAGAAAAAAGAGCACCAAAGTTGGATTGAAGATGTGCATGTATGTATGGAGAGTGGATTCACGGTATTAGATGGGTGGCCAAGTGCAAAGGTTATATTTGAGTAAATAACTAAAGGAAGTGAGGGAGGAAGCCATGAGGATATTTTGGGGGAAAGCAAGGACAGAGGCTCAGGATAGGAGCATGGCAAGGAGGTGCCTAAAAGGGAAGAAGATAAAAAGTAGTAATAGAGGATGAGGTCAGAAAAGGTAGGTAGGGAGCAGGGGAGACTATGTGAGGCTCTGTAAATGATTTAAAGAAGTTTGCCTTTTACTCTGAATTATGGAGACATTGAAGGGTTTTGTGTGGAAAAAATCATGGTCCAAATTATAACGGGATCATTTTGGATGCTAAGTTGAAAATACAGTAAAAGGAACAAGAACAGGGGATGCCTGGTTGGTTCAGTTGGTTAAGACCTCTGAGTCTTTTTTTTTTTTTTTAGATTTGTTTATTTTAGAGCAAGAACATGTGGGGTGGGGAGGCTTAATCTCCCAAGTTTCCCCAAGAGTCAGAAGCTTAACCAAATGAGCCATTTAGGTACCCCAGGAGTCTGACTCTTGATTTCAGCTCAGGGCATTGTCTCAGAGTTGTGAGATCAAGGCCTGCATCAGGCTCCATGCTCAGTGCAGAGTTTTCTCGAGATTCTGTCTTCCCTCTGCCCCTCCCCCTCCTTGCTTACTTCTTCTCTTTTTCAAATAAGTAAATAAAATCTTTTAAAAAATAAAATGAACAAGCATAAAGTAGAAAGACAAGTTTGAAGGTCGTTACAGTAATGTTGACAGGATAAGGATGGCTTGAAGAGAGTGATAGCAATGGAGATAGTGAGGAATTGTCAGATTCTAGATAACATATGAAGGTGGAAGTCATGATTAGCTTGGAGATCAGGAACAGGGTGTGAGAAATGAAGAGGAAACCAGAAGTTTTCTGTCCTGAGTGTAATTGGAAAGACAGAGTTGCTGATGGAGAAGAGAGAGTAGTGACAACAGCATGTTGGTGGCATATCAGAAACTCTGAGCTTGTTAAAGTTTGAGATGTCTATTAAATGCCCAGGTGGAGATGCCAAGTAGGCATATAGATATGTGAGTATGAAGTTCAGGGAAGAAGTCCAGGTAGGAAATAGAAATTAGAATGTTACCAACACATGGATGGTATCTAAAACTAAAAGACAAGATCTTCCAGGAAGGGAGTGTTGATAGAAAAGAAGAGAGGTCTGAGGAATGAGCCCTGAGCTCCTACAATGTTTAGAGGTCGAGATGAAGAGGAGCCACTAGGAAAGTGGCGGAAACCTAGGTCAGGGGAGCATCCTTAAGAGAGTGATCAATTGTGCCAATTGCTGCAAAGAAGTCAAGTAAGATGTGGCCTGAGAATTCACCATTGGATTTGATAACATGGAAATGGTCAATGACTACAGTAATGTAAACTTCAGTGGTGTGGTGGGAGCAAAAGCAAGTTTGGAGTACATTCAAGGAAAAGTTGGAGGAGATGGGGAGAAAAATGAGACACAGTGAATATAATTAGGTCTTTGAAGGAATTTTTCAGAAAATGGAATGAAATTGATAGGTGAGTCCCTTAGAGAGGCAATTGTTCCATAAAAATGGAAATGTTATCTGGTAAGGGTAATGACAGAGGTATGTGTCAGGTTCTATGGCAACCGGAAGAGTTCCACTTGAGATGATAATTTTATTTTAGAGAAAAAGAATCAGGAAAAACTTTACAAAGGAAGTCACATTTAGGTTGAATCTTAAAATATGAGTATTCTGGTCTCCACAGAACTGGTCTCCAAAGAACTTCCTATTCTGGTCTTCACAGAACATTCAGAATGATTCCTTTGCCATTGAAAACAATAATGGAAATGGACAAAATATATGAAATGACTTAAGGCATTAGAGAGCTAATTTCCTTGCTTTTTCTCTGGGGTTATATCTAATTCTATGCATGGGATAATAGAACCTAAGCAGAAAGTAGCAGTCTCACTGAGGACATGAGTTTGGAACTTGAAGAGCAAAATCTCAGGAGGGAGCTATAAAGAAGTGACCCCAAAATTATCCACTGATATTACACTCCAGTGATTGGCTGATGACTAAACCATACATATGTAGGGTCAGACTCCAAGAAACCCAGCAGGCAAGACCAGACCAGAGGCTAAAAGCTGAACAGGATTTTCAGCAGCTTCATAGTGCTAGGGACATAAAGGTTAGAGTTCAAGTCCTGCCAAGCTGAATGAGCCTCGGAAAACACCCCAGGCTTTCTATTAATATCTCATAGAAGGGACAGGCCCTAAGAGTCAGAACCATGCTTGCCCTTAGCCTGCTCTGAATGCTAAAACAGAATACTATAGACTGGGTAGTTAAAACAGTACACATTTATTTTCTCATTGTTTCAGGTGTTGGAAGTCTGAGATCAGGATGCCAGCATGGTTAATTTCTGGTAAAGATCTCTCTTCCTGCCTTGTTAGTGGCCACCATCTTGCTGTGTGTTTGTATGACCTCTCCTTTGTGCACTTGTGGAGAGAAAGCAAGTTCTGTGGTGTCTCTTCTTACAAAGGCACTCATCCCAACATGAAGTTTCCTTCCTCATGAACTCATCTAAACCTAATTACCTACCAAAGTCCCCATCTCTAAATACTGTCACATTGGGGGTTAAGCCTTCAATATATGAATTTGGGGCAGGGGTCATACAATTCAGTCTACAGCAATTCCCTTGAAATAAGAACATGACCCAAAAATAAAGTCAGAATTGAAATAATCCAGCTCTAACAAAGCGCAGCTTTAACCCACCTAAACAGGACTATGGTAATTTGCTGGTAAACTATGTGCTTGCCAGAGGAAACAACACTTTTGAAGGTAGACAACACTATTCCATACTTCTACACTTTTTCATAATATCTGGTATCCAATAAAAAGTTATGAAACATGCTTAAAAGTAATGGAACTTAAAAAAAAACATGTTTTAAAGGAAAACATACAAGAGAAAGAAATAACCACTTGTGATTCAG